GACAGCTTCTATTAACACAGCCCAAGGAAGAGACTTGAAATGGTCAAGTAAGCCATTTACCCACATAAGACATGTATAGAATCTTTTCAAATTAAAAGGAAATATTCTACCTATTATAAAAAGCAAAGGAAATATTCTTGAAGATATCTATTGTTTTTGTCTAAATAAAAAATAAAATAAAAAACTTCTCATTGCCCGGCATAGCAACAAAATCATATGCACCTTGATTTAAATTAAAAACTTTTTCAATAGTTTCCCTTATTTCAAGTTACATATATTTGCATTAAATTTGGAAAAACAGACAATCCAGTTATTGAAGACACTTGAATGATATCACTGAATTATATAGGACAAAACCATTGATTCCCAAATTAGCATATTATTATAATTATACCCAAATATAGATGTCAGTGAAGGAACATAAAATGCTAATATGGGTGTATTTCAAGGCATAATAGAAAGGAACTACCTGGAACCATTCATGTCTCACATGAGAGAATTTTGATGATATTCACTAAATTCAGAGGTAAATTATGAAAGAGTTTCAAAAGAAAAATGAATTACTGGTGTAACTCCATTCAACTGCTTTCGAATACTAAATACTTATTCAAAGGACTCCTCAAAAAAAGAAATAAATTGCAAGTGAGTTTAGGAATTGCAAGCCATTTTAAGAAGTCAATTAGTTTAAAAATGGTATTAATGTATAGCGTGGGCTCTAATGCCCATCGTGCAGACATAAGATAAGACAATATATAAAAAAGTTAACTTATACCAAATTAACAGTGCAAAAGAAAATAAATAAAACAATATATAAAAATGAAAATACACTACACGATCGTTTACATTACACATTTTCTAAGAATTTAAGTGTTCTTTAGGATTTCTCTTCCAATGGGGCGATTGGTAGACGAGAGATTTTATTGTTTATGGGAATTACAATTTCTGGAAATATATTGGAAAAATAAATTCTCATGAATATTACCAAAAAGTTATTTGATAGGCCAAAATATTTTCAAAATTTTTGGTGCAAGAGAGGGTATTTTAGTTATGAGATTTTAAAGGAGGGTTGTTTATATCTTATAAATATGTAAGATTTTATCGGTATATGGGAATCCAAGAATACTACCCACTTAAGGGTATTATTTCATAATATTTTTATCCACAATTTTAATTTTCAAGAATGTCATTTTCCTAAAAAAAATTTAAGAATCTTGTATCAAATGTGAATAATTAAGATTCTCAAAAAGAGTTTCATGCTAATCTAAAATTTATCCGTGGCCCTAAGTTTTTTGTCCAGCTCAACAAACTTATAAGAATATTTCTTATATGTACCAACAAAATCCGACACATTTGGTAAATGATTGGATCCCTTATGCATATCGACAAAAATTCAATTCTTGGTTGTGAATATGAAATAAAATTTATTGATAGAGACAAAATTTATTTAAATAATCTCTATGCCTTGAAAGAATTAATAGGATACTTGAGGAAACTAAAAAAAAAATTTACAAGTTGACTATTCTAAGTAATTAGCACAATTAAAAACGTCCCATTCAAAGTGATTAGTCTAAAAATAGTGACGGATGGGATAAGTATAAAAAATCTTACATTATTTCAAGACTATACGATGAATAAAATAATTCCTTTGTCGCATAGTGTACGCCAGAGCGTGTTCATATTTGCTTTATATAAAATTTGAAGCGTTCCCCTAACGCGCAATATATTATGAATTTATGAACCCAACTTCACCGCAGGGGAAACCGAATTGAAGACACCCGGCGAAGTCTAGGATCGATTTATGGAAAAAAAATGTGTATTATTTTAAGGAAAATCAACTTGTCATGTTGCAGGAAAATTACTGTTTATAGCTGCAGATAGAAAACTATGGTGGGACCCACTAAAACATTAAATCAAAAAAATAAATGAACACAATCTCCATTTTCGATGTCTCTGCAACAGTAATCTTCCTACGACATGACAAGTTGATTTCCCTTATTTTAAAGGATATAAAGTTGTGTCATTGTGTGTGAGAGAGAGATAGATAAATGAAAAGAGGGTGGACAAAAAAATATAAAAACGTGTATCTCACCTTTTTGTGATAACAAAAAGATATAAATTTGTCATTTAAACAGAAAAACACTTTTGGCTTGATTTATGGGATAAATAAATCTCATGTTGCAGGAATAGTGATCTCTCATGTTAGTGAGAGCTCGATTTCCGTGTTAATATTTTCTTTCATTTTCCTTTTTTTATTTATACTAGTGGGCCCACTTGATCGTATGCAGGAGAAAAGCTGCTCACTAGAAAATGCAACCCCTTTATATATGTTAACTACCCACAGTTTCTTTATTTCCAGAAGCACTGGTCCTTGCATTGATCCTTCAGATTAATACTAATTAGAGTAATAGTGTACACGTTATACATCTTCCTCAACAACTTTGCTTCGGCTTTTGCAATTGTAATTTAATGGCTTCGTCATCTTCAACAAGCTGTTCTTCATCTCAGATAACATGGAAGTATGACGTGTTTGTGAGCTTCAGAGGTGAGGATACACGTAACAACTTCACTGATCATCTTTTTGGTGCTTTCCATAGAAAAGGAATTCTTGCTTTCAGGGACGATACAAATCTCAAGAAAGGTGAATCCATAACACCTGGTCTCCTTCAAGCAATTGAAGGGTCTCGGAAAACAGTAGCAAATAATTGCATTGGGCTGCATTTAGAGTAAGGTGAGAAGAAATGTTTATGATCTTTTTTTAAAAAATAAAATAAAATTTTAAAGTAGCTGATCTGAATGCCATTGTGATATCTAAAGTTATGAAACTCACTTCAAGTTGATCCTTTTGATAACTCTCTTTGTCTGACCAAGTTTAATTGTGACTCCAAGGTGGCACTCAACGTTCATAATGAGGAGGAGGCAAAGATAGGCTCTGTTTGATTTCTATTCTGCAGAACAGTTTCTTAATTTTAAAAACAAAAAATTTAAAAAACTTATTTGGTATGAGTTTTTTGTATTTGTTGTTCTAAAAACAACATCTCTTCTCTGGTTTTTAAAACAAAAAATAGAGAAAACCTCTTATCTGTTTTTGTTCTCTTTTCCTATTCATACTCTTAAAAGTGAAAGAAACACGGAGAACAATATTTCATTAATGACATTCTAATAATTATAATCAAACAGATTTGTTTTCTTCTTTTTTCTACAAAAACAGCTTTTATAAGTTGTTTTATAAAATAGTTTTAAAAACAAAGGGGGAAGTGGCAAAAAGGGGGGAAGTGATGCAAATTATGAAGAAGCATGTTAGCATAACACGCTTTTTTTGGTTGCTGTAGAATGCTTATGTTGGTTGGCACTCAATTACAGTGTAATGTTTACTGGAGAATGATTCCATATTTTGACATATAATATTGGGCTTTATTAGTGTTATGTAATATAATGTAAGTGTTGCTTTCAACTCTCACATCAAAAGGGAGAGAGAAAGTGGAATGATGAAAGAGAAAGAAAAACATGTGGACCCCACCTCTTTAATGTGTGTATAGGAAAATGAAGTTATATTATGTTAAATGATAAACATAAAACCTTATAATATTATAGCCTTTTTCGTTCTTGTTAGTACAAAGTTGTATAATGTTATTATAATTACGTATAGTGGCGGACCCACACTTGGACAAGTGTATGCAAGTGCGGACACAAACTCTCCTCCTCTCTTTTTTTTTCCTCCTCCTTTCAAACGGCAAAAGCACCCATCTAAGAACATTTATGGAAAGATACACTTAGTTAAAGCACTTTCCAAATGTTTAACCAAAGTAAGGCAGTCAATGACGTAGGAAGACTTGACGTGATTAATCCCGTCACCAAGGTTGACGTAACAGGCCTCCATGTCAGCCACGCACTTCAATGCCGTCACTTGGCGAGACGGCACTAGTGCAGCAAAAATTTTGACGCCACTAGCTCTTATTTGTTCCATTGCATCTGCAATTTTCATTCTCTCTCTAAAGCATTTTTCTCTCCTTCTCTCAAAAATCTCTCATCTAAATCGGTTGCCACTTTCCTCTCTGCTACCTGAACTCTCTTCGCTGCATATTCTGTGAGATTTCCCTGCCAACCGAAAAAGGCATGTTGTGTTTGAATTTTTTTTTTTTTAACTTTTTGTTATTTTTTTTTGTATATATTATTTACAAAATTTTAGGATATATATTTAATTAGAGAAATAAATAATAAAAATTATAATTAGTGAAATAATTAAATAATAATTATAATTAGTTTTTAATTAATTAATAATTGAAATTTGTAAAAGCTTAGGTTAGAAACCTAATTAGTGAATTTATCATTAATTATTGTAAATTATTTTATATGTTAATTATAAAACCTTATGATAGATGTCTAATTATTAAATATATTTGTATATTAATATTTTTATGTCAATTATAAAACCTAATTAGTGAAATAATTAAATAATTATTATAATTAGTGATTAATTAATTAATAATTTAAATTTGTAAAACCTTACAATAGAAACCTAATTAGTTAATTAATTAATAAACTAATCATTAATTGTTGTAAATTATTTTATATGTTAATTATAAAACCTTAAGATAGATGTCTAATTATTAAATATATTTGTATATTAATATTTTTATGTCAATTATAAAACCTAATTAGTGATTAATTCACATATTAATTCACTAATTAGGTTTCTAACCTAAGCTTTTACAAGTTTCAATTATTAATTAATTAAAAACTAATTATAATTATTATTATTTATTTCACTAATTAAATATATATCCTAAAATTTTATAAATAATATATACAAAACAAAATAACAAAAAGTTAAAAAAAAATGAAACACAACATACCTTTTTCGGTTGGCAGGGAAATCTCACAGAACATGCAGCGAAGAGAGTTCAGGTAGCAGAGAGGAAAGCGGCAACCAATTTAGATGAGAGACTTTAGAGAGAAGGAGAGAAAAATGTTGTAGAGAGAGAATGAAAATTGCATATGCAATGGAACAAACAAGATCTAGTGGCGTCAAAATTTTTGCTGCACTAGTGTCGTCTCGCCAAGTGACGGCATTCAAGTGCGTGGCTGACATGGAGGGCGGTTACGACAAATTTGGTGACGGGATTAATCATGTCAAGTCTTCCTACGGCATTGACTGCCTTACTTTGGTTAAACATTTGGAAAGTGCTTTAACTAAGTGTATCTTTGCATTAATGTTCTTAGATGGGTGCTTTTGCCCCTTTCAAACAGAAGCAACGAGATTTTCTGGCATGGCTTCAGAGTGTAACAACTTGTGCACCTGTTGTAAGAACAGAAAAGAGTTCAGCAAACTCCCAGCCTCAGACCAATCATTCCATTCTTCTACAAAAAGAGCACATAAAAACCCAGTCAAAAGTTGCCCTTTTCTTCTCTAAAATTCCCTTCTTTCTTCTTCTCTCTCTAAAATCCTAGTCTTGATTTACAAAAATAAAATAAAAAATCCTAGTCTTGTTGTGACCACCACCTCCACCTTGAACTCTCTCCTTCTGTTTCTTATTCCTAAATTAGCTTAGCGAGCTCCGTTATGTATACATCAAACTCAAACAACAAGTACCTAACAAAACCAGAAAATGCCAAATCATCACAGCTGCACCACCATCTCTATCTATCTCTAAATACACACACATATTTATAGATACATTCATTCTTTATCTAATTTTTTATTACAACTATATTATTCACTATTCAACAGGCTCAACTTTCTATTCATTGCCCACGATGGAAAAAACAAATATAAATAATAAAGAAAAATAATTATTATAATAATTAAAAAGTTTTAATTTTAGTTAAAAAAGTTAAAGAAAAATATTATAAAAGTGGCATTATAAGATAAATACCTTGTACTTTTTTGTGGAGTAAAAGAGTAACACTACAAGGTAAATTATCTCGATAACAATTCCAAACGTGTTAATGGTGATGAGAAGGTGCACATGTTTTTTTTTTTTCTCTTTTAATGCATTTAAATTTTTTTTAAAAAAAAAAATTGGTGGCATTGTCCCCAAAACCCTACCACTAAATGTGTGGACACAAATGAAATTTTCTGGATCCGCCACTGGTTACGTACATATGCAATATTGACTGAAAAGTTTTGGAACCTAGTTATTAAACTCAACCCTAACTAAGGAAGCCTAATTACGTACAAAGTTGTATAACGTCATTACAGTTATGTACATATGCAATATTGACTGAAAAGTTTTGGAACCCTAGTTATTAAACTCAACCCTAGCTAAGGAAGCCTAGTTACGTACAAAGTTGTATAACGTTATTATAGTTACGTACATATGCAATATTAACTGAAAAGTTTTGGAACCCTAGTTCTTAAACTCAACCCTAGCTAAGGAAGCCCCAATCTATGATTTCTTTCACAGTTGGGCTCCTAGGTGACTCCCTACAACCTTGTAGGTCTCAAGCTACAAGACTTGAGAATTTACTCAAGCTTTGGCTATTAACACTGACCTCCTTGGTCAGATTTCAAGAGCCTAAGGAAAACTTAAAAGCACCCTATAAAAGTCAACGCAAAGCACAATCCCTAAAACAAACCTGCAACTTCAATCAAGATTAAAAGACAACAGTCACTATATCTTTGTTTTCTCTTTCAAATTCTTACTTAAATAGAATCTGATTAAGATTCTTATTTGGAAATTTTCAGCCTTAATCCACTTAGTCTTCATAAATAGATCTGATTAAAATGATGAAAAATCTGTTTAATAGCATTAGACTATGCTGGAATTTCTTGCAATTAGAAATTGTCTGTAGTTAATGAAGCTTTAATATTAAGTATAGGAAAAATTTATATTTACAGACTTTTGTTTATAAACTCAACTACATATTTCTGGGAGTAGACTCAATTAGGAATGCATTTCCGGAAATACATAGTATAGTTGGTAAGACTTTATAAACAAAAAAAATTATTGATATAACATATCCCATGAGTATATATTTGACTGATTTTTTAATTCAAGTGAGATATTGTACTCTTTTTCCAACATGTCTCGGCCTAGCAGCAGATACAAGTATCATAAATTATTAGCAATGATCAATCTCAATGGAATTGCATGCTCCAGCAGTTTCACCCAGACAGAAGATGTGAGTTCTGATTGTGCAGCAGTAGCCATATTAGCGACACAAGGATTTATGGCATCTCTGGTATTAACAGCACTACCTGGCTACCTGCAGTTGGAATAAGTTTCAAACCACAAATTCAACCTGTCTTATTGAATCACAGAATCAGAACCCAAGTATAAGAAGTCATAGCACCTTTTGAGAGTAAATACTATTGATGAAATAAATATTCAACTGCCATCATCAGTCTTAGTGGAGTTTGATCCACCTGCAGGTTCTTGTACTAACACTGAAACTGCAGATGAAATTTCTAAATGTTATTGTTTGTTCTAGTACTAACTTCTTTTAAAAAGGAATAATTTTATTTTCACCCCATATAGTTACATGTGTTTTCAAATTTATCATTTAGAATCATTGTGATTATAAAAATGTATCATTTAATCTATTGTGGTTTCAAAATATCATGTATATCTATTGTGGTTACAAAAATATATCACTTAGATCTCTTATAGTCTTTTATATGCACACAGGTTATTTTCAAAATATCATGTATATTATATATTTTCAAAATATCATGTATATCTATCATGTATATCACTTAGATCTCTTATAGTCTTTTACACGCACGCAAGTTATTTTCAAAATATCTTGTGGTTATAAAAATATATCACTTACACTTATATGCATTTGATTCATGATAAAAATAAATAATTTATTTAACTAATATGTCTTTAATTTATTTTGAATAATATTCTTAATTTTAAATATATTACATAACTAAAAAAATTTAAGATGATTTTTAAAATAATTTGAAAATAAATAACTTTAAATATTTTTTAAATTTATTCAATAATTAATTTTATTAAAATTTTATTTGATAATATCGTAATTATATAAAATAAAAGTTAGAAAAATATAAAATTATATATTTATAAGACCATTGTTGTTTAAGTGATATATTTTCAATACAATGAGTGTAAGTGAATGTTTAAAATTATGGGGGGTTAAATGATAAATTTATTTAACCACAATAGATATGAATGATAAGTTTGAAAGACGAGGCAGTGTTATAAAAATCGGATCGGACCAGCTGGGTCGAGCCAAAAATCGATAAACTAATCATGTGACAGTTCGGGTAAAGTAATAGATCAGACATGCAAACAAACTGGTGTGACTCGGTGTGAACTGGAATAAACCGGCCGGTTTTACTAAAATCGGTGACTCACTGGGTCAAAAAAGAACAACATAAGGGAAGGAAAAACATCGGAGAAAATGGAACAGTGGCCGTCGGGGATGGTGCAGATGTCTTGGCCAGCAATGGGGTCCACCAGGGAAGGCCACATGGTGGTACAGATGTCTCGCGAGAGATCTGGTCGGTGCAGAGGCGGCAGAGGCAATAAACAGACGAAGAAGAAGAAGCTTGAACTTGTTGATACTTGAACTACTGTGGCCACTATGGCAAATAAGAAGAAGCGGATAAAGAGACGATAGCTAGAAACAATAGCTATTGCCTATTTTCAAAAAAGAGATGATAGCGTGATAAAAACAAAATTGGGAATATGATGGGTTTGTTGTAAGAGTGAAATAGCTGTTTGTTTCTCTTCACCAGCCAATGCTTTTGTACTTTGCATTTATTATATTGTATTGGAAAATGAAATGTACTAAATTGCATTTATTGTATTGTTAAAGTGAAATGAGTAGTTTATTATAGGGTTTTATAATTCTCAAGTTACATGAGAATTGAAATCTTATGTTGTAGAGGCAAAAAGCATGTGAGACCTATATGTTAGAAAAAGAAAAAAATTATATGTAAGACTCGCGTCAGCATGAAAATCGAAGGGTGTGTAGGAAGATTTCAATTCTCATGTTGAATGAGAATTATAAAACCTTTTATTATATTGTCAAATGAAACGACTCTTTTGCACAGCTACAACTTTTTGAAAAATTTATTATATTAAATTGTATTTGAAATGTGATATTTTTTCTTTTGAAATACAAAATGTAATATTCATTACTAATAAAGTTAGAATATTTATTTACCAAAAAAAAAGACAATATTTGAAATTGAAATTATTTTTTTTAAGTTTTTAAATATATTTATAATTTTTTATAAGTTTTTAAATATATTTATAATTTTTTATATAAATTATAAATTTACATATACTCACCGGGTTATATGATTCAACCAGTGACTCACTAACCCAGTACTTCGACCGGGTCAATAATCGAGTCGAGTTTAATAATATTGGATGAGAGGTGAAGTGAACAGCAATACACCATTAAATCATAAGAGCGAAAATGAAGTTTTCTCTTTTAAAAATCATCTAATAAATTACATTTATTATTATTATTATTATTAATAATAACTTACTTTATTTAATTTCCTTATAAGTTCATACCTTTCAATTTCCAATAACAATAAATATTTATCTTTTTAAAATTTCCAAATTTAAAATTTCCTAAATAATTAACATAAAAATAAAATTATCAAAATTTAGCCTTTTATGAAGTTATAATTGTTAGAAAAAGCCAAATGGAACTTCATTTTACCGCCCACAATATGACAAACTTTCAAAAACTATAATAGAAAAATTAAAACAACTTTATTAAATTAATTTCAATTAGTAAAATATTACACATAGTAAAGTTCAGCACCACTTCAAAAAAAACTCATTAAAAGTACGAATTTTTTTTTGGAACTCAAAAAGAACATATCCTATTATATATTTCATATATATATATATATATATATATATATATATATATATATATATATATGTATGTATGTATTCTATTAACTATATATAAAATGATTACCAAAAAAAAAACTATATATAAAATAAAAATATGGAATTCAATATATTTTATTAAAATAATAGAAAGAATTGAAAAAATGAATAAAATAAAATAAATGGTATTTGAATTATGAACTGAAAAGAAAATCTTACTATATGAAAGTGCCACTCACAATGTCTTTTTATAAAACTTGATTTTTTTTTATTTAAAAAAAAAGAATTAAATTTTTTTACTACAAAAAGAATTAAATACTTGGTTTTCAAAGGATTATTTTTAGCTTTTATTGATGTAGAAAACAAGTATCATAACTCATTTCAAAAACTCAATCCCATCGAAAGTACATTAGAATAAAATTGATAAAGTGATACAGATGGCAGATGTGAGTAGTCCATACTTGTATTTTTGTTTCTTTCAGGCCCAATACTTCATATTTCATATATATCAAAATGTTACAAAAATGATCAATATAGATTAAAATAATAAGCTAACTACTTCTAGATCTAAATTCCAAGTTATGAAGAACCGTTCAACTTAAGTGGCATTTTGTTGCCACTAATATAATAGAATTCCTATCAAATCCAAATCAGCTGTATGCGTAATTTACAAACCAACACATACAACGATGACTTATATGAGCGATGATATTATTCGACTTGCAAAGCATTAAAAGCTTGGAAAAATAATATAACGAGTTTGATGAATAAACTTATATAATAGTATGCTTTCGTCACAGTTGTTAAGATCATAATGTATTGTATCAAGCTAAACAAGCCTTAAGTAATTAAAGATATGTAAAAATTTGAGGATCTTCCTTAAAACATATCACCATGACAAAATTCTTATATTTATTTGTCGTACACTAACAATCTAGAGCTGCAAAGCCTCCATTCTCCATGCCTGCCATATGGAAAACAGTTACGTAATGTTTGGTTCAAGAGTTTTCTCCAATTTCCTAGCGAAGTGCAGAAGACATTCTCAATTCCCCATGTTTGATTCACCGATGTGATGAATTTTACCCATCAATGCCACTCGCCTGTCAATTCACAATTGCATGTAAAAATCAACAAAATCACTGTTTCAGAAAGCATCTTTGAAGGTGGTATCTGTGAAAAAATCGACTAAGTTATTCGAGTGGTACAAAAGGGTGACAACATTACTCCTGACACCTGAGCCGTTGGAACAATTGGTTGTAATAAAATAGGGTTATTTTTATAAGGATAAATTTGTAATTTCATTAAATTTTCTCATCAATATTTTATCTTCAATCAAACACACATTCAGTAATTTCATTCAATTTTTCTGATAAAATTTTGCTCAACCAAACAACTTTTTTAAAATTTTTCTATCTAACTCACTTTCTCTGCAGATCTCTAGTATTTACATTTTCTTAGTAAAAAAAAATTTCATCTCAACCAAACACCCTAGTATTTCAATTAATCTACTCTTCGGATTCAGCTAAAGTTATAAATTTAGAGGACTTGTAAAAATATTTATTACGACATGACTCTTCTAAGTAATTAGCATTTCACCCCAGAACCACCCCCAGTTAACGTACAAGACGGTGGAGAAATAAAATAAAGGGTTTTATAAGAGTTATGGTGTAGAAAAAATGATTATGTAATGTTACAGAGATTCATTTTGCGTGCCATAATTTTTTTTCTTTACTTCAAAAAGTGTGAACCCCACAAAATATTATGTGTATAAGAAACTTTTTTATGTAATGTGAAATGATAAATACAACCTCCTGAAATAAAATTCCTGTGTGTTTTCATGCGAGTAGGAGAATTTACTTTCTTGTTTGTCTGCCACAGTGAAAAAGGGCAGTGGAAGAATTAAATAAGTTAATCTTTATAAAAAAAGTGGAAGCGTCGGAAACCATGATGGACGTGTCGGAAAAGGGAAAATTGAGAGAACTTTCCAACGAAGGTGGATTGAAAAATCTAACTCAAATTCGATAAAGTGGAGAGGGTATCAACGCCTAAACCGCAATGGCGTTCATGTTATAAAGAGGAAAAAGAGTTTCCCTTATTAATCGCAACTGAACTTCGCCACATAGAAAGCAGAGGCATTCAAATATATCTTCACTACCCACAGTTTCTTTATTTCCATAAACACTTATCCTTGCATTGGAGCTTCCCAGTAACGCGAATAGCCTAATACAATTTGTGTACAATTTATATATCATCCTTAACAAGTTAGCTTTGGCTTTTGCAATTGTAATGGCTTCATCATCATCCTCAACATGCAGTTCTTCATCTCGGATGACATGGAAGTATGACGTGTTTGTGAGCTTCAGAGGTGAGGATACACGTTACAACTTCACTGATCACCTTTTTGGTGCTCTCCAAAGAAACAACATTGTTGCCTTCAGGGATGATACAAAGCTCCAGAAAGGCGAATCCATAGCACCTGAGCTCCTACAAGCTATTGAAGGCTCTCGAATTTTTGTTGCTGTCTTCTCAAAAAACTACGCTTCCTCAACATGGTGCTTGCGAGAACTCGCAAAGATCCTCGATTGCGTTCAAGTATCTGGAAAACTTGTTCTGCCTATTTTCTATGATGTTGATCCATCTAAGGTGCGAAAACAAAGTGGGGGATTCGAGAAAGCCTTTGCGGAACACGAAGAAAGATTCAAAGAAGATTTAGAGAAGATGGAGGAAGTGCAAAGATGGAGAGAAGTGTTGGAAATCGACAATCACACAGAATCGAGAAAACAGAAAAAGAGATAAGAGTAGAGAGATTGACACGATGATTTACCCTGGTTCACCCAATATAGGCTACGTCCAGCTTGTCTGTACTATATTCACCTCACCGCCACTCGTTACGAGTCTCTCGGTTTACAAGGCAAATATAAATAGGATTACAAGAAACCCTAACAGCACTATTCATGGGCCCAAGCCCAAACTGCTAAGAAAATTACAATAGAAACAGAGGCCTAAACAATTAGGGCCAACATCATCATGTGAAGTATGAGCCATACCCAACATTCTCCCACTTGGTGAATGCTTCACATGTTTCTTCAATCCCAATGCATCTGTACACCATTCAAACTTCTCCGAAGTCACTGCCTTGGTCAGAAAATCAGCATTGTTGACCTTTGTGTCAACCTTCTCCAGCAATACAACCTTGTCTTCAATCTTCTCTCTGATGAAGTGGTACTGTATGCCGATATGCTTGGTCCTCGCATGGAAACCTGGGTTCTTAGCCAAGAAAATGGCGCTCTTACTGTCACACCCAACGATCATCTCTCCTTGTGCAAAGCCAAGCTCTTTGCACAACCTCCGTAACCAAATAGCTTCCTTAACAGCATGTGTCAAGGCCATGTACTCAGCCTCTGTAGAAGATAAAGCAACAGTGCTCTGCCTCTTACTCATCCAACTGATAGCTCCGCCAAATGAAGAAACAACATATCCACTTGTAGATCTTCTACTATCAATGTCACCTCCCCAATCAGCATCCACAAAGCATCTCAGCTCTAACAATGTCTGTCCCCTTGAGCCCTTCACGCCTTCATAGCATAACCCAAGGTCAGACGTACCACGAAGATAGCGGAACACACGCTTCACAGCCGTCCAATGCTCATTTCCTGGCTTGGACATATACCTGCTCAATACTCCCACTGCTTGAGCAATATCAGGTCGAGTACAAATCATGGCATACATCAGACTCCCTACTGCACTAGCATAAGGAACTGACGCCATCTCTTCTTTTTCTTCTTCAGTCTTGGGACACTGGTCAGCCGATAACTTAGAACTAGTAGACATGGGAGTCAACACAGGCTTGCAGTCAGTCATCTTGAATTTCTTCAGAACATCTTCTATGTACTTCTGCTGACTTAACCATAATCTTCGTTTGTCACGCTCCCTCTTAATCTGCATACCCAAGATCACATTTGCAGCGCCTAGATCTTTCATTTCAAACTGCTTTGCTAGCAGTCCTTTAACAGTGCTGATCATTTTCAAACTGTTTCCAACGAGTAACATGTCGTCAACATACAAAGTTAGAATAACAAAGTCACCTTCTAACCTTTTCACATAAACACAGTGATCAGCATCACAACGGTCAAAGCCAAGCTTCAGCACATAAGTGTCGAACTTCATGTACCACATCCTTGGGGACTGCTTCAGGCCATACAGAGATTTATTCAGCTTGCAGACTAGCTCCTCTTTGCCTCTTGCAATGAACCCCTCTGGTTGCTTCATGAAAATAACCTCCTCCAAATCACCATGAAGAAAAGCTGTCTTCACATCTAGCTGCTCCACCTCTAGGTCATATGCAGCTGCTACAGACAAAACCAGTCTTATGGAATTTAACTTTGCAACAGGTGAAAATACCTCACCATAATCAACCCCTTCTGTCTGTGAATATCCCTTTGCAACCAATCGAGCCTTGTAGCGTTCAATCTCCCCATTGGCACCAACCTTCTTCTTGAACACCCACTTGCAACCAATTACTTTTCGGTCTGCAGGTAGATTCACCAAACTCCAAGTTTGGTTTTTCATCAGAGACTTCATCTCTTCTTTCATAGCTTCCTCCCACTGTTTGGCATCCTCCGAGCTCCTCGCATGTTTTACAGTGCTCGGATCATCACCTGTAATACTTAATGCACAAACATCATCACTAGCACACAGGATATAATTTTCAGGTGTATACCTCTCAGATGGTCTTCTTTCCCTCGTGGATCTCCTCAGCACTGGTGCTTCAACCTCAGCCTCAGTTTCAGAAAATTCATCCTCTACCTCATTATATTCAGCAGCTTCAGAATTCAAATTTTCCAATTCAACCTGTGAGTTTATTGTATCCTCTTTCAAACCCACATCCAACTCCACTGTCTGTGACTTTTCAGGAGCTTCAGGAAAAATCTGATTCAACTTAGATTCTCTGAATACAACGTCTCTGCTGTAAGTTACACTTCTAGTATCCGAATTCCACAACTTATAACCTTTGACGCCATCCTTGTACCCAATAAAGATACACTTTTCAGATTTACTGTCAAGCTTGTTTCTTTTCTCCTTGGGTACGTGCATATAAGCTTCACAGCCAAACACTCTGATATGAGATACGTCTGGCCTTTTTTTAAACAGTGCTTCATACGGAGTCTTCTCCTTCAAAGCTGATGTAGGAGATCTGTTCTTCAGATAACAAGCAGTAGCCACTGCCTCTGCCCAAAACTCAGTTGCCAAGCCTGCACCGCTCAGCATACTCCGTGCTTTCTCCATGAGAGATCGATTCAACCTCTCTGCCACCCCATTCTGTTGAGGTGAGTAGGGCGTAGTCTTCTGTCTTACAATCCCATTGCTCGCACAAAAATGGTCAAATTTTGTTGAACAGAACTCCCCTCCATTGTCAGTTCTCAGCACCTTGATTTTTTGATCAAATTGATTTTCCACCAAAGCCTTGAACTCGCAGAATTTATCGAACACTTCATCCTTGCTGCGCAAGAAATATAACCACACATATCTTGAAAAATCATCAGTAAAAGAAACATAATACCTTGATTTTCCATGTGATGCTACAGGTGTGGGGCCAAACACGTCGCTGTGTATCAAGTCCAGAACCCCCTCAGCTCTTCCTCCTATGGAATCAAAAGATACCCGATTTTGCTTCCCTTGCAGGCAATGCTCGCAAAATCCAAACCCCATAGAGCAGCTCAGAATTCCATCCACCAACTTCTTTGATGTTAGAGTCTCCAGACCTTTTCCTCCAATATGCCCCAGCCTCCTATGCCATAACATAGCAGTGTCTTCCTCCGCCTGTTCTGAAACATAGCTTTCACCACTGAATACTGTGCTACCCAGCAGTTTCCATAATTTACCATGACGCTCTCCTCTTGCAATAACCAAAGCTCCTCGAGTCAGCTTGCAAGAATACTTGTCACTGCTAAAATTAATACCAGCATCTGCCATACTACCAACGGAGATCAGATTTCTGGTAAGCCCCGGAATATGCATCACACCCGGCAGATTCTTGACTGTCCTGTCACTCATCTTCAACTTTACCTTCCCACGCCCCACAATTGCATGAGTCGTGTCATCTCCCATTCTAACTGTACCGCCAGAATACGATTCATAGGTGCAGAACCACTCCCTATGAGGTGTCATATGAAACGATGCTCCAGTGTCAATAATCCAATCATTACAGTCATTATGACTCAAACGCCATGTACAGGTCCCCTGTACTATCATCATCATCCTTCTTTGTACCCGAAGCAGACGGTTGTGAATCATCCCGCTTCTCAGGACCTACACTTTTACTTCTGCAATTCCTTCTCAGATGTCCAACCTTTTTGCACCTCCAGCACCTCATTTCAGATTTATCAGATTTATCAGATTTATCACGGGACTTTGATCGTCCCCTCGATCTTCCTCTGTGACTAGACTTTGATTTGTCATCACTCCTCCCTCTAGCAACCAGAGCCTCATTGTTGGTACCTTCAGAACCTACCCTTCTCATCTCCTCAGACAATAAGGCAGCAACAACCGTCTCAAACGACAGTTTATTAACACTAGTACCAATTGACACAATGATGTGCTCCCAAGAGTTGGGCAGTGAACACAACAAGGTGCAAGCTTTGTCTTCCTCGTCCAGGTTAATGTCTATAGACGAAAGTTGTGCACAAATAGTATTAAATTCATTTAAATGAGCAGAGAAGAATCACCTTCGCTCATCCGCAGATTATACAGCCTCCTTCGCAGGAACAGCTTGTTCACGAGTGACTTGCTCTGATAGAGACTTCCCAGCTTCGTCCAGAGATCCTTCGCGGTCTTCTCAGAAGTTACGTTCACCAGAACGTTATCAGCCAGGCATAACCAGATCAGGCTTCGCGCCTTTCGATCGTCTCTGGTCCACGCCTTCAACTCCTTCGACTCGCCATCACCTGACGTTTCTTCACCGACAGGTTTTGTTGGTACGGACGGCTTATCATCTTCGATCACGTACCACACGTCCCTGTCAACGAGCAGAGCCTCCGTCTTCAGCTTCCATAACTCGAACCCTTTTCCTCCGAACTTTTCAACAGCAGCTATTCATGGGCCCAAGCCCAAACTGCTAAGAAAATTACAATAGAAACAGAGGCTTAAACATTACCTAGCCTCTACGGGCCCGGGGGCGCTGCCCCCCGGACCCCCGCCCGCTCAACTGGGAGCGGGACCCCAGTTGCCTTTCTGCTGACCCCGACAATTAGGGCCAACATCATCATGTGAAGTATGAGCCATACCCAACAAGAAGCTCTGACACAAGTGGCCAATCTCTTTGGTTGGGATATACAGAATAAGTAAGTTATCTTCTCTGATATTGATTTTTTTGTGCCTGTGCATGGTATTGACGGAGCAAATTTAAGGTTTTCATCAAAGATCTTAATTTATGCCCTGCTGAATTTGATTGTTTCTTACTGAAGATTTGGTGTTCATGGATTTACCCTTTTGAAACTAGAATTGAGAGAGAGTACTGTGCAATCTGTTGAAGTGGTAACACACAAATTGGGTCCAAATTTATAATCTTTGTGAAATGAGTTTTTAAAATGTAAAAAGAATACTCTGTTATCTTGTCCTGTATATGTACTTTTTATTTTGGTTTTGATAGGTGTTGATCTTGTGTTCTTTATTTTCTTTCCACTTTCAGGCCATAATATGTAGGGGACTTTGACCAAAATAACCCACTCTGAATAATATTTTATCAGTATGCCACGGTTCATTTCGAATTTTCCAAAATGCCACGTCGCAATCCCGCTACATCACCAAGCGAGATTCCAAGACGACACGTGGCGGTCAACCATTGAGCCCCATTCTCGCTTATCTGACAAGCAAGAATGGCTTGTCAATCAGACACTGAAAAGTTCTCCACGTGTCATGTTCTCCCCATTCGCGCTGGTCAGAGAAGCTAGAATGGTACACATCGTACGACTTCCTGACACATGTTGGACGCGTGGCAGCTTCTCCTTATTCACGCTTGTCAGTAAAGCGGGAAACAGTCTATATAATCCCACTCCCAACCCCACCCCCATCACTTTCATCTTTTCTTCTTTCCAACTTTTCTTCTCTCAAAAGTAGTTGTCTCTCTCCGCGGCGGACCTGTTCAAGGTTAGTGTATATTTAAATTTTTTTTTTCTTTTAATTATCAGCATGTGTATTGTAGTAGTTATAAGTTAATTTTGTGTTGTAGTTAAATATTAGAATTAGTAAATTAGTTTTAGTATTTAATTTTGATATTGTTGTTAGTATAGCATTTGTTAATAAAAAAGTATAGGATAAATATATAATTATTTTTTTATTATATAAATTAGGAGAATCAGTAAATTTTAGGTTAGTTAATTTTTTTAATTAATAATTAGGATAGTAATAATTTAATATTGTTGTGATTATTAGGATTTATTAATAAAGAAATTATAGGATCAAAGACATTGTTAATGTTAATATTAATATTTAGTTAAATATTATTTAGGGATTTATAATTATCGTAATTAGTAATTAGATTTTGTATTGAAATTTAGTTTATTTTCAATAGTAGCATTTGTTAATAAAAAATTATAGGAAAAAAATGTAATTATTTTTTATTGTTGTGATTAGTTTATTTGTAGGATAGTAAATTATTTTAATTAGTAATTAGGATAGTAATAATTTCATATTGTTGTGATTATTAGGATTTATTAATAAAGA